TCCACTATTATACAATAGGGACGTCTTCATTTGGCTGACTTTGCTGTCTGAACAATACTTATCTTTGCATTTACAGCCATCAACATGCAGTAATTAATTTGATGTGCATGTGATGTGCGCAGCAGTTTCTGTTTCGTAATCACTGTTCATTTTCCATCCCAAATCTATACCAGCTCGATCCTCGTTTCTTTTCCATCTCACCCCTCTCACTTTGCGCCCTTTGAGGTCACAGCTGGCCCTCGGGGCACGGAGGTCTTCCACCCCCGTCCCTCTTCGATCGCAATCATCAAAGATATCCTTCATGCCTTTTGTAGTTCCACTCTTCCACCTCGACACTCTTTTCCCAGCTGGAGACCATTGCTTGTCCAGCAACTCATAGAGTCAAACTGAGCACTGAAACGTGTCTTGATGGATGAAATCCAAAGTAAACAGCTCTATAATAAAGGTGTGAACGCGCCCGCTGTTTGCCGGTGGCCAAGTAAAAACACACGCGTGGCCACGGAAGCAGTACGAGGTGAATACATGCCAGTGAGCTGTAGAGAAGCAAAGAGTCAACGTCGGCCCTGTGTTGATTTTCAAGTCCCGGTCTCATGAAAACGTGTTTCTCTGCATACTGAGCGGGCAAAAGAAATCCAACGAGAAGGACACTCAAGACATCTCCGATGTCAGGTGGGACAATCGGCCCTGATTGAATCCCAAAATACTTGAATCCTGCGTTCATGAAGTAGCCCTCCTCAACAAATCTTCTATTTGTTCTCTATGATGATTAATAAAACGACCCGCATATAATTCAGTGCAGCATATTAGGAAGATGAAAGAGACTGTGACTGCTGAGAGCCAACTTCACTATTTTACATCTCACTGCTTCAAACCAATTCACGCAATGAGAAAACAGGTACAAAACCCCACAGGAGACCTGATACGCACACTGAGAGCTACCGTTGTGTCACAATAATGCAGCATTTAAAAGGCATTAATGAGCGGAGAGAGACAGCGAGAGGGATGAGTGCAGCATGTAAAACACACGTCAGGTACCAGACATGATGTCAGGTACTGAAGCACACAAAGTGATCGGCCTCGTCACTCACACAGATGAATCTGTTCCATCAGCTGCCCACGTCTCATCATTCGATTACTTCTCCGTGTCCCTGAGGTACAGGAATTGTCGCTCTATCATCTCAGATGATCTGTGTGTGTGTGTCACATGCGGAGCGTATACAGAGGTATTCTTCAAACCCCCCCCTCTCGTTCTGCCTTTTTAGTCCCAGCGTGTGGATTTGATGAGGAATTATATGGAAAGTCATAAAATCAGGACACGTGTAGAGTAATAAACACACAGAACTGGGTGTTTTTTAACCACCGGGTTGCGTTTTCTCCACCTGGAGGTTAAAGCTGAAGCAGGTGGCTTCTGGTTCTGCTTAGCGGCGCCTGTACAGTCAGAGTGAGAGAAAAGGAGACAGAGACACACTGGAGGGACACTGCACACCGCTGTGAACCGGTTATTTTCCTTCAACTCATTTTAAAGTTCCCTGTCCAGAGATAACACAACTTATTTGCCTGACTGTGATGATTAGAAACGGATGAAAAATAAACTATTTCCCAAAGTGTAAAGTTGCTCAAATCAGTATACTGTTATTTTTTTTTCTCTGGATGCGGATGGCAAAGGGATCTATTGATGTTGCCCCGGCGGGCTGACGTCGGATGAATTATGTAACAGCCTTGGCTGGTTACAAAGGCGACTGTGCGGGAGGAAAAAAAAAAAAAAAACTACTTATGCTGCCGTCGTGACAACCGATAACATAACCTGTGTATTTACATAGACTGCGGCATGTAAATCCTCTGCGTGTTAGCGAGCCTCGTTGCAGGTCACGATGTTTAATGGGCAGCCACGGCTGACAGGCCGCTCCCGAGCTCAAGACAAAGTACAAACTGCCGTCCCCTGATAACGTCATAAAACGTTGGCGTAAAAACTCAGCCACATGTGAAATTTGGTTAATGGGATTTCAAACCGGGATCGGTCATTTCACGTTTGGGTGACAGGGTAACTAATGAGGTGCTTGTTTGAAGGTTACAGAGGAGACACGGTTGTGTTTTAAAGGTTCAACATTCAGCCAAAGGACACAGAGACTATCGTCTGCTGTTTAAGCTGAAGTGCAGCTTTAGCTGCTAATGCTAATGCTAGGTGATGCAGATGGATGGTATGTATTGTGCTGTGTTGTCATGCTGAGAGAAGGATAGAGAGCTAAATGCATTCCACCCATTTGATCAGCTGGATTCGGTAATCGACATCTACAACATGACCTTGCTAAGATAGTCAGTTTTTAGAGATCTTTTTGGCTCTGGGCATTATATATCTTTTTCAAATGATCAATTAATTTTGTAATTACATCTCAATTTGGGATAAATCGCCTCATTTGGCAGAAGGCTTAACAATACAAATGAAGTTCCCGAGCTGCCAGTGTTGCACCCACCATATTATTCCCTCCATCTCTCTGTCTCCTTCACTGGCGCACCTACTTCCTCATTAGCTCCTCAAAGGGAAAGCAAAGCATCAGTCTATTACGAGGAGCCCGGGGCGCTGTGCAGAGTTGTGTTAAGTAATAACAACCAGTGACGTCAAAGGCTCTCCGTCTGAGCTGGGCAGAGGGAGGGCGAGTGTGTGTGTGTGTGTGTGTGTGTGCGTGTGCGGGTGTGTGGGTGTGTGGAGGGGGAGGAAAAGGGACGGAGGGTGTGGAGGCAGACGTGGAAGCACAAGTGTGTAGAAAAAGCGCACATGCGTGTGTGTCAGCGACCGGTTTTCCGTTCAATGCTCACCGCTGAAGAGCGTAAACATCGTGCAGCAGTTCGGTCTGGAATCAGGAGCCTCCATCGCTTATGTGATTCCTGCAGCTCCTCTCTCCCTCCCACCGCTGCATTGATTCTTTTTCTCTCCCCGGCAACGTATTGCTTTTTCCCCCCATTGGTTCAGAGAATAGCGGAAGAGGTCTTTTATGCTCCGTCACACATCTGCCAGTACTTCTGTTTATGGTCCTATCGCCGGAGCCTCTGCTCAACTATTGTGACTAATGCTGTTTATGCAATATCATGTTTTAATGATTCAATACACTGCAATCATTATTGTATTCAGACCAGTAACCATGAAAGATGTCTCACACATTCTTACTGTTTACTAAACTGTTGCGTTCCCTCAGTTTAAACACCTTAACTAAGCCCCTTGGATGTTCATAAAATGTCTCCCTCCATATTCCCATTCTTGGAACGAAAGACCGATTGTGGGATTAGAGATCTCAGGGTACATTAGAGAGGACACATTAGAGGATTAGACCCTAAGACAACGTTGACGTCTTAACATGCCTCATTATGGCTGCTGATCTTGCCCTGCCAGGTGACAGCTGTTTGTTGGAACCGCAAGCAACGCTGGCAACACTGCACACAAAATGTACACACAACGGAAAAAAGCACAAGAGCCATGTATGGTATGTAAACTAGCACGAAAGGCCCAGGAGGGTTCAGACTGTGCCGGACTGTTTACGGCAAACAACCCTGAAAGCCTCGCCGGGACCGTGTAAGTCAGCGTGTCGTTGGCAGCTGCCCACCTCCTTTCTAGATTGTGGCTCCGAATCCACGGGGCAATGTCAAACTACAATCTGTCTTTAGTTCAGCCCTATTTGATCCCTATACGGCACTTTCCACGGGAGGCCTTTCGCTCGCATTTACAGCTCACAACAAACACATGACTCCGGCGGGTAAACCTACTGTAAGTGCCCGAGGAATGTCTGAAAGTCCAATCTGTCAGCAGGCCTGAGGACCGGCAGCCTTGTTCCTCCATTACAGCCACGGGCCCCCGTGATGACGAAATGCACTCTTGTTTTCTCAAGAGGTATGAATAGAAAAGGACAGACGGGGTTTAGAGACATATTAATATCAGTACTAATCTGCAGTTTGAGTAAATTACGCCATTCTTGCAAAGCAAAGATCAATATATATTATATAATTAGGAATATTATTAGGAAAACACTGTTTGTTCCCTGCCATGCAAACATGGTTATTTTGCTTCATTCATACACTGCGACTTGTTTTTAATAGCAACCGTGCTGCAAAGTTACACCGGCACCGTGCAGCGGTGACTTCATGTCCCAAACACACAACTATGCGTATTGGTGCACTTTAAAATTGGCAACAACGTGCGTTGAGCCGAGCGATGACGCGCGCAGCCTACATCAGCACCTTGGATACGGGCACACCACTCAGCGCGGGGCTCCTGCCCCGTTTTGGACCAATCAGCGGCCTTGTTTTTCCAGAGAGCGTTGGGCTCCGCCCACACCGCTGCCAGCTGTAACGTTCTGCTGAAGGGAATCTCCTCTCGGGCAGCCTGCGCCCCCCCGCAACGCCCGTGTTTCGTTACCTGACCAACACACACACACACACCCTTTCCAAAATAATAAGTAAAAATGAGGTCCATTAGGAAATAACAGGCAACTTAGAAGGACATATGTGATGCAAATTAGATTAAAGCCGGAGAGGCTTTAACATGACACGGGCGTTAAAGGAGCACGGGGTCATGTGTAGGCTAAAGTGTTCTCAATGTGAGATGTTTGATAAAGACGTTCACGGCAGATTCCTCTAAAAAATACATGGTTTAGTTTCTGGGAATAGGACGTTTTCAGTATAAATGACTTATTTCAGCACCGTTCAAGTCGGACCGGATGTATGTTTTTTCATATTCTACCGTTTCTGTCTTTACAATATAATCGCTTCAGCCTTTCGCTGTCAGCACAGATCTCGTTGTCTGTGACGCAGACGCTCGCCGTTCCACAGGATCCTACGTCGCGGAAGGACACCTCGGATCAGCCAATCAACGCGCAGCTCGGGCACCGACTGGAGGGGCGGGCCTCTCAGACTGGACCAATCGCGGCCGCTCGTATTGTGTTGACCTCCGAAACCGCATCACCGCCCACCTCGTGCCCATGGCGGAGGGAAGCTATAAATAGAGGCGACGGCGTTGCAGGCGGGGGACGAGGCATCGACACTCCCGGAGAGGCGGGAGCTACTCTGCAAGCCTGCTGGAAGAGGGGAGAGGAAAAAATACAGAAATAAGCTTAAAAACAGAAACCGAAGCAAACACCAATCGTCAGAAATGAACATTTACTGGATTACTTTTTTGTAACGTTGATAACATATTTTGGGCGAAGTTTTCACCCCTATTTGCACTAACTAACGGTACTTAAGAACAACTGCGAATTGAATCCTTTTTTTTGTTGTTTTACAGAAAAAGTAAGTATTTCTGCTTCCCTTCGCTTCCGCTGCTAGTGATGCATTTAAAGTCATCGTCTTCATTCCGCTGTCGTAGTGTTGCATCCGTAACCTCACTTACTAAGCTGATTTGCTGCGTCAGTCCACGGAGTTGGGGAAGGGTGTGTGCGTGTGTGCGCGTGTTTGTTTGAGAAAGTGAGCGGGTGTGTACACGCGTGCATTTCATCTACGTGTGTAGCATCTGTTTTCGCGTTAAAAAAAAAACAAAACACAACAACACAACAATATCCCCTCAGAGAGCCGGAAATGCGTCGGACGTGCACGTCGATCAATACTGATCATATCGCAATTTAATCAATCTGTTGTTTTTGTTTTGTTGAATTTGCAACAGTATCTGTCATAATTTACCGGATAAAATAAAAGACCTGTAGGCATTTCGCCTCCTCTCGGCTGCTGTGTTCGGGGCTGGTCATAGTCCCTTGCAGCGTATATCTCCTGTATTGGACGAGTAAGGGAATACCCTTTTTTGGTAAGTTATTTCAAGGGGGCTTGACTTTGTATCCCCTCAATTAAACTCATTTTGCGGGCGTTAATACAGCACGCACGTCCCCCTGGACATTCCGTGTCCGCCTCATGTTGTGACGTTCAAGGGTTTTGGCTTTTCTCTGTAAAATAAATAAATAAATAAAAAAGCCTAACATATGTGAGCAGCCACAATGCGTTAAGTCTTTTTTTTTTTTTAACTTGTTGTTTCGAGCTCGGGGACGACGCGCAGCCCTCGTGACAAGATCGCACCCTTTGGAATCCACTTAAGTCCTTTCCTCGCTCACTCGTCGTCTAGGAAGGCGTCATTGGGGTTTTAACGTTTGGGTTTTCCTTAAACGCGACGACCCGACTCGAGCGTTCCCGTGCGCCCCTCCGGAGCCTCTCCGGTGTGACGTAACAGGCTTCCCGAGCATTAGCGCGAGGTTAACGTGCTCGATGGCCACTTTCTGACATGCACATACGAAAATAAAGGCTGATCCGGGATCAGCGCGCTGTGTGTTGATGTTTCTGCAATAGCTGCACATTTTAAGCGTTGTTGTTGTGTAGGACACTAACTCGCACTCCCCTTATGTAGTCTGCGGTCGAAAGGAGCCCGATCTCTCTTGTAAATATTGGTTCTTGATGGTATTTACGTTTTTGTTGTGACCTCATTTTTTGTTTTCTTCTCTACCAATTGTTACAGGACAATATCAGAGCCTGTGGAGAACATCCCTCCGCTACAAAACCAGCACTTTTTCCTTTCGAACCAGTTTCATCCAAACACTGGTTGCTTTCGGCATCCTGCCAGGAGAGCGCCTGTTTTGCCCGCCACGGATAAACAAAGCAGCCCCAGTGGACGCGCTCAAGGTCAGACACACGTAATCCTCACGCACCTGGGAAACGTCGGCAGTCAGCTATGCAGCTCGAAATCCAAGTAGCTCTCAACTTCATCATCTCGTACCTCTATAACAAGTTGCCGAGGCGGCGCGTTAACATTTTCGGCGAGGAGCTGGAGCGGCAGCTGAAGCAGAAATACGAGGGACACTGGTACCCGGAGAAGCCATACAAGGGCTCGGGATTCAGATGTATCCACGTGGGGGAGAAGGTGGACCCCGTGGTGGAGAAGGCAGCCAAGGAGAGCGGCCTGGACATTGAAGACGTCCGCAACAATCTGCCCCAGGACCTCAGCGTGTGGATCGACCCCTACGAGGTGTCCTATCAGATCGGGGAGAAGGGGCCCGTCAAGGTGTTGTACGTCGACGACAGCAACGACGGTGGCGCTGGCAGCGGGGGGCTCGATCTGGACAAGGAGATCAAGAACAGTTTCAATCCCGACGCGCAGGTCTTCATGCCCATCAGCGAGCCCGCGATCGCCGCCTCCCCGGGCTCCACCTCGCCCTCCCCGCCCTTCGGCCACTCGGCGGCGGTCAGCCCCACCTTCATGCCCCGCTCCGCGCAGCCATTGACCTTCACGACCGCCACCTTCGCCGCCACCAAGTTTGGCTCCACTAAGATGAAGAGCAGCGGGCGCAACAACAACAACAACAATGGCAGCAACAGCAACAGCAGCGCCGCCGGGAACAAGGTGGCGCGCACCTCTCCCACCAACTTGGGCCTGAATGTGAGCAGTCTCCTGAAACAGAAAGCCATCTCCACCTCCATGCACTCTCTTTACGGGTTGGGCCTCGGCGTCCAGCAGCAGCAGCAGCAGAAGCCCTCGGCCCTGTCCCCCAACGCCAAGGAGTTTGTGTTCCCCAGCCTGCAGGGCCCGGGCAGCCAGAGCGCGCTCTTCCCCGGAGACAGCTCGCTCAGCCTCAGCCCGCTGCAGTACAGCAATGCCTTTGACGTGTTTGCGGCCTACGGTGGCCTTAACGACAAGTCCCTTATGGATGGCTTGAGTTTCAGCTTGAACAACATGCAGTATTCTAACCAGCAATTCCAGCCAGTTATGGCCAACTAGTAGGCGTTAAGGTACTACTTAAGCTACTACACAGAAACGACCAGAGATAATGTGATCGGGGACGGGGGGGGGGGGACAAAAACAAATGCACATATTGCAAAAACAAAAACATGTAAACGAAACCAGAATGTCAAAGAGAAAAGGAAGAAGCGACTTGTCAGCTGTAAGATCTGTGTAATGAGTCGAAGAGCATGAGCCCGAGGGTGAACTGCTTTGCCCCCTTGAGTTATACCTTTAGTACAAGATGTCCAAGCTTGGTTACCTAAACTTCAACATGCATCATCGTCATTTCTTTTGCCAACCAAGCACAATTTTTTTTACGTGACTGTTTCAACATATAAAAAGAAAGACAAAAAAAAAAAAATACTCCACCACAAGTCATGGCCTCTTTCAGTATTTAAACAGAACTGGACACCGCCAATTTTTAAGAAATTGGCCCAAATAAGTGGAATTTCCTGGTCTTTTTTCTAATTGTATAATTTAATTTAGTACAGAGTTTGTAAAATATCAGAGTATCTATTGTTTCTACGACATGGTATTGCATTTATATCTTTTTACTACTCCAGTGATCTGTGATGGCTGCAGCAACTTTATGTTTTCTTTTTTTATTGAAATTATAAAATGAATCCATCTTCGACAAACATCGACTCTATTCTAAAGATTGTGTACAGAATATTCCGTAGTGGTGGGATTTAAGAATATTTGCTTTTTTGAAAAAAACATAAGAGTTGTATTTTCTGTTTAAAGATTTTTGCTATATTATGGACAAAATGTAATCGTATATTAATTTTGTACCTACATTGTGCAATACTTGATAAAAAAACAAAAAAAAACGGTATAACAAAGTATTTGGAGTCAGTGTCTTACATGTTAAGAGGGACTGATAGTTTATTAAGTTTGTATTAAAAAGCTTGAAAATAATTACGCTTGCTCAGTTTCCTTGTTTTTTGTGGTTGAGCTGGTTGATGCTGGTCCAAATATACGTTGCAGCGTGGACGGATCCATCACTCTGTCCTGAGGTCAGAAGAATGAGCCCTGTCCCAAACACGCTCACGTCCTTTGTGTCTCACCTGGTTGGTACACTGGTATGTCCTCAGCAAAGACTTTGGACCCTCCGCTCCCGATGAAATGGGTCAAGAATACATTGATTAAACCAGATACATTACATACTCCCACACATTTCATATCCTTCACATGTGACACTATCAATAAAGAAGCCCGCAGTCGAGCTTTCAGGCCGTGTTGGCTACCGCTTCACTTGGCGGTTCACCACACTTCCAGATACTTGGAGGGTGACCACCTGAACCAAAGCAAGAACTTTGCAAGTGACCAGGCTGCTTAAACCATGCAACCAATTTCATGAGGCATAAACTACACAGTGGATGGGCAAAGGCCTTGTACTGTGGGTAGAAGAATACGCATCTGAAGCTGTGCCGAGAAGATGCCGTCATGTTTTGGTGGGACGAAGCTAAAATGTTAGGACAGTGCTGAAGTGCTTCCCCCCCCAGATATTGAATCCCCAGAAACCCCAGGGGGGCCATTTCTCTCCTCTCCTGGTTGATGGAAGACCAGATTGAAAATCACCCGGTCAGGGAGCGAGCCGAGTCACTTATTAACTTTAATAATAAAATGCATCATGCAACGCTGCAAAAGGCTACTAAAACCTGTCAGCTGAATGCTAAGCTGCCCTGTTACATTTCACCCAGTGTCCTCAAAGATGTGGCCTGTTAATGGATAACTATATAGCATATAAACACAACGTAGCATTTGAGCTTTGGAGTTTTCTGCTGCTTGTACTACTATTTGGGAGTCGAGGATCCAAGTCCAATTGTAAAAGCGGAATGTAGATGGCAGCTCAATCCCCGCATGCTTTCACCAATAACTGCTGGGTCGGAGTAAAAACAGGTTTTCTTGCTGCGCTGTTGAAGTTCAAACCTTTGTGGTCACTGCTGGCTCTCGTGCTGAGAGGCTGTTGGACTGTGTCATGTCGGCCTCAAATCGCGCTGACCCTGCTGGCATATCGCAGCCCCTCTGGGTCCAGCTCATCATCGCCTGCGAGTCCCCTGATAAACTTGGGGCTTGGTAGGCTGAGTAAAGTTCAGCCCGCGTGAGCGGGCGTATCTCAGTTGCTGATACTGTGAGCGTTAAAGGAGTCGGGTGGGAGTGTGTTTGCTTATCTTCTCGGTCTGTGACACTGTTTGTGTACATGTAGATTCCGCAGGGTTTGGAACAGGTTGTTCTGATAAATGCCACAACTAAGGACTGTTAGCTGCTTGAGCCTTTTCTTGATGCAGTTTATATTTATCTACACGGGGAGTGAATCGATCGCACATGTAAAGGCTTAGACCGGTGATGTGCTGTAGTTGTAAATGAAAAGGAGTGTGTACTATAACCTCCAGCAATCGCGAAAGGGCATCACTATCAACAGATCAGTTTTTCTTTACTAATCAGACTACTTGGGAATATTACGATTTATCGCAGCCCAAAATGGCAGTTATTTGTGCAAATACATCGAAGCATTGATGCTTGGGGAGATTCAGTTTGAAATATGACCTTTTTAGGATTACTGATGGTCATGTAAATATGTTGGGAAATAGCCGTAGGGTCTTTTACCCAAAGGTTGACACGATATGCTTTAAAGTAGCAAATAGGAATCCGTTTGTACTGTAAGTCTGATATAATCATTTTCAACCTGCCTTTTTTTCCAGGTAAAAGATGGGTAGAGAGGAGGTTCAGACGAAAGAGAGCGAGCAAGTGTTATTTGGAGTTATATTGATGTGAACGCCATGTGGTACTAATAATACCAGTTAGAAGAAAATCCAAGAGCGGGCGGGATGTGAGATCAGAATAGCACAGAGAGACGGAAGCTTGATGAAGAGAAGAAGGGATGGGGAAGGCTTGGAGCAACGGGACTGGCAGAGAGAAAGAGTGAGATTGAAGCATTGCCAGCACCACCATGATGCTATTCCGGTGCCAAGCCCACCCCTCAGCCCCCCGGCCCCCCGTCGCCCCCTCCGCCTGTCATTAAAACAGGTGTGGTCGGGCTCAGCTTGTGGTCCCGGCCAGCCGACAAGGCCTTATGGTAATGTCACACTCCTCAGCAAATGACAGTAATGGCTTTTCAGTCCTTTGCCCGAGCCCTCCCCCCGAGTCTATTTCTGGAAACACGCTGGAACTGGTTGAGCAATGATAAGCTTCAGAGAATTGTCCTTTCCTCTGAAAAAATTACTTCACCAAACCTTATCCGCACACCTCAAAGGAGGAAGTAAAGAATAGAAGAAGTTGCGTCTTTTTTTCTGTTTTTCTTGCTTAGTTTTTGCTAAAGAACAGAAGACTAAATTAGTCCACGTCCTCGCCGTCCCACTAATGAGGCAGATAACATGTGTTGACTGGTCTCACAGTTGACACTTAAGAGAGTACCAAGGGCACTGACACAGTTGCTCTGAACAGTTGCTCACACATCCGTTCGGCACACATGAGCCGTCGCAAGTAGGCAGACAAGAAAACACTTCGCCGAAATATATTCCGTACTAATGCACCCTGCAGCTGTCGCCCGTCTTGTGCTAATTCAAACAGATCGGGGACTCGTGTTTGACAAAGGCCGGTGTGTGCCGTGTGCACGTTTGCGGGATCTTGTGAGGGATTTGTTTCACGGCGTCTGTTTCGATACATGCTGACTTTTGTGTCTCCACGTCTGGGCCTCTGGGCATCTTCTCATCTACTTGTACTGCACTCCCGCACGGTGGGAGTTGTCCAGCTCGCTTGGCACACGTTTAGATATCGCCAGCAGACACTCACGCACCCAGCCCTTTAAACTGCAGCTGCTCTTATCTGCAGATGGAGACCCACAACAAACACGCATTCCTCCGCCTTCCCTCCCGTGCCACGCCCCTCCTTGTGGCTCACGGTGGTTTTCCAGGCGCAGTCTATCGCGACACCACCTCACCTGACGTTGGGTTCCCCCGTGACGCTCTGCAGCTGAAGGGTGGGGAGAGAACCGCACGCACAAATGTTACAAAGTAACTCCGCTCTGCCACTTACGGTCCTTCTGGCTCCACCTGTTCAGCCTCATCAGTTTAGAAGTAAAGGAAGTTCATGTGCCAGTTGTGTAGCATGCTGTGTGTCACTTTCAGAAATCAAAATCTGCAACCCACAAATGTGGCCCGTGCTGGGGAATCGCACCCACGGTTTTCGGAGGAAATGAACCAATCAAAAGTATCCACGGGTCCACAAAGCCAACACTGGGTTAGCCCTCCCTTAACATTTGGATAGTTTTGGCAGCATGATTCAAGACATCTTGTCAGACTGAGATGAATCAGTGGCGTGCATCTGCAGGTGTGTGGCACGCGCTGGTGAAGGTGGTGGGGGAGGGAAGGGGAATGTTGGACACCTGCTATTCATCACCTCCCAGTGTCTATACATGTGTGTCTTCATGTGAGCGAGAAGGAGAGGAAGGACGCTGCAGCACTGAGACATCTTTTGAAATCTTTATGCCGAGAAGAGGCTGATTTGATGATTAGAGGATAAAGAGGCATGCTGGGAAACATTGGAGAGGAGGGTCATGGATGTGAAAATGCATAAAAATACATAGATCCATGTACACAAACGTGCTGCAGATCTAGAGAGTTGAGAGGAGAGCGGTGAAAATGAAAGCAACAAGAGATGTCCTTTTTAATAACGTCGTCATATGAAACTCTCTCTCTGCTTCCATATCGTCCGTAGCCTGCACGTCACCACGGAGCCTCTTCTTTCGCTGAGAAAAAATATACCTATTGCCTCCTAAAAACCTTTTCTGTCTACTTAGAGTCAGTCTGGATTTACCTGACTTATTCGGCATATGCTTTCAACACTTTCATGAATAATATTTACACACATTACTGGCAATGCAGCTTCCGCCACGTAACTCAAGTCATGAGACACTCTTGTTCTTTCAAGCTTTAAATGCATCTTCAGGTCCTCAAAGGAAGCTCTTTTTCTCCGGTTTGTCTGAGGACGGACGGCTATCAGTCCAACGGATCATTGAGACAGGAAGTCCAGACGTGCAGGGATGAAGCCATCGGCGAGGCATTTACACGCAGTGTTGCAGGGCGGTATTCGTGAATAAACACTACTATTGGCTGTTTTGTGCCCTTGAGAAATGCTGAAGAGAGTGTGTGTTAAACGCTCAAAAAGAGAGGAGAGTGAGAGGTACACTGCAGCCGTCGACATTGATTTAATGATAATCAGAGTAGCTGATGGCGCACGTCATGTGACAGCAGATAATACGTACAGCTGAGCTTATCGGGGCCTCTCTTGTTTAGGCAAAACCTATTTGGACATCAGCAGGAAACGTCTCCACAGCTGGAACAGCAACGACTGCCTCAGGACTCTGGAATTTCAACTATCCTGCTTATAAGGCCGGCCTGAACACGCTCTTTCACATTTCTCTTCCTTTTGAATACTAAGTCGGAGACTATTTCCCGCAGCCATTTTGACGGTGTTTGGATGTTATTCTATTTATGAAGTATAAAGAAAGGTTCATTTTTAAAATAGAGAAAAACATCATTCTTATTTAAATGCAGTTACACAAGTTATTTGCATCCTCAACCTGTTCCATTTACACTTTAACCTCGATTGTAGTTTAATCTACCGGATTTTCCCTGCGTTTTACTCTTTCCTGTGAAAGAATGGAGAATTACCGGATGTTGCACGCGAGGTGAAAAACACGTCTGCTTCATAGCTTGAGCAAAAACATGTATACACGCATCCTCCCCCAATGCCTGGTTTGTACAATAACCTGTGGAATGTACCACACACCTGTTAACCAACAGCAGCGCACAGGCTCTAATGAAGCCAGACTGGTGCTGCTTGTTAAAGAGATTCTCACCAGGAAAGGGAATTCATATCTGTTGATCAGGATTCAGAAACCTGTACTCATATTT